TGAACGGTTTAAACAGAAATCGACTTTCAAAGGTGGTTACTGGAGCTTATTGATAAAAAAATTACGTTTTTGATATATTAGATTTAGACTTAAAATTTGGCAAGCGTGCTTATTTTATTGAGTAGAGATCCACTAAAAATTCAATTTTGGAAATTATTATTTGGAAGTTTTTAAATCAAGAATTATAAGAATATTTTTCAATACGATCGAGTTCTCAATGCTAAGAAATCAATAATGTTTATATATATAAGCAATATGTATTCATGTAATATCATGAAATACCCAGTGAAGAGGCTAGTATTTTTTTAAAAATTAAGGAATTACATTAATTTTTTAAAAAATTTCAATATTTTTCAAATTTTTTGAAATAAAAGCGATATACTCGCATAATACTAAACTTAGATTTGGTTTAAAGAGTTTGATACATTTTATAATTTTATAAAATTTTGTACATTAAAGACTACATTTTAGAAAACATCATGCGCAACTTAAAACTTTATTTAATACAGGGTTATTAGAAATGAATGACCCGATTACAAAATTTAATTGGGCCGTGGGTAGCCTAGTGGTTAGAGCATCGAACTCCAGACCGGAAGGCCTGGGCTCGATGCCACCAAACACCCTCCGAATACACACGGAGTACGTGCTCGTTAAATCAGTGGGTCCGAAAGTCTTGTGGGCTGAATCACGAGTGCAGGGGACTGGAGAATATTTTCCTCTCCTTCAGTTCCATGTCTAAATTGTGGAGGTGGGGATAGGCAGTATCTCCATCTATCGTCCCTTCGGGGGATTTCACAGAGCTAATTCGTACTGTCTTTTGTATGGTGCTCAAGGTCAACGACAGGCGTACTTCTAGCCCCTTGCCACGATGAATTTCGTGGACCTCGTTCTGACTACGTCAGACAGGTGGCATTAGCCACAACAACAACACAAAATTTAATCATTAATATGTCACTGTAAAGATAAATTATGAAATTTTGAGTTTGTAACATTGTGTTTGTCAAATAAGCGGCAACAATGTTGTAATTGTGAACAGAAGTGGAAATGGCGTCACAAAGGGGGAAGGCATTTTGTGTGTTTTTGCTTGCAAAAAGTCTGTCAGTAATCCTGGTTCAGCGTGAATTTCGGAGAAAGTACCATATATAAATGCACCGACATCTAAGAATGTAAGAAGATGGTGTAAACAGTTCTATTAAACTGGATGCATGTGTAAAGGTAAAAGTCCAGGATGACCAGATTCGTAATGGTATTATACGTGTGACTAAAAGAAGTCACATTGAACAGTTGTGAAAACAAATTTTTCTTTACGTTAATAAACGTTACGTACGAAAATAATTTCAAATTTTATCTTTACCACGAAATCTGTTTATTCATCTGGAAATTATTCAATTTTGTAATCGGATCATTCATTTTTGATAACCCTGCATTTCTTACACAGAAATGTTTCTTATTTTCATACGCTTATAATTTTTAAAGGTATGATTATATTTCAAACACATTTTACCCTTTTTTGAAACCTCATTCCTCTATAAATAATACGTAAAAGGATCGAGTTATTTAATTTTAACGTCAAAGAATTATATCAAGTCGAAAATTGTTTCAACTCTCGGGACAAAATTAACACCCCTGAGATCTCATAAGCAACGAATCGTTAGTGGATAGAGGTGAATAACTGGCTCGACTAAATCATTGTCGATATCAATATTAAGACAAATAATGGCTATCGCTGTAATCAAACTATCGTTACATTTTATTATTTTATTATGGAAAAAAATAATAAAATTCCGGAAACAACAGATGATCAATAACTATGAGACGAAGATGACAGTTCGTACGGGCATTCTACAGCCCTCATATTGACGGAATAAAAAAATATCAAAACTGTTTGTGAAAGAAACAACACAAGTAAATATGTTGGCACTGTCTATAATAGGTGTTGTTGTTGCTCATGCCACCTGTCTGACATAGTCAAATCGAGGCCCACGAAATTCATCGTGGCAATGGGCTAGAAGTACGTCTGTCGTTGGCTTTTGGCCTTGAGCACCATACAGGTGACAGTACGATGACAGACTTGGAGAAATTCCCGAAGGAACGATAGATGGCGACACCACCTATCTCCACCTCCACAATTTAGGCATGGAACTGAATTGGAAGGACATTTTCTCTAGTTCCCTGCACTCGTGATTCAGCCCACAAGGCTTTCGAACCCACTGATTTAACGAGCACGTGTTCCGCGTGTACTCGGAGGGTATTTGGCAATACGAGCATCGAACCCAGGTCTTCCGGTCCGGAGTCCGGTGCTCTAACCACTAGGCTAGCCACGGCCCTATAATAGCTAAATGAATTAAAATAAACATCTCCTAGGAGCATAGAAGGACTATGGCTACGGATTCCTAATTCTAAATAAGTCAGATCTTCGTATGAAGTATAAAAATTGGATACTTGAGAGCTGGAACGTAAAGATTTTGAGACCCATTCAATAGGACATATAGCTCAAATCTCGTATCTTGTGAATCGATTCGAAAATCATTAAACCTGCAGTTCGAGACTTAAATCATTTAGTAACCATTACCTTTATAATGATGGATTACAATAGTCAAGGGCTAACAGTCCAACAGTTCAAAGGTTTGTTACAAGTCCATAATGTAACGAACCGTGACTTGATTGATAGAGTGACGATTGGGCATTAGGCTTGGGTTAAATAATTCCGAAAAAGACCGTTATGTAACAGGTGATGAACGTTAAATTTGTCGGGGTCAAAGTTTTCACGTTGAATTTAACCTGGAGAATGGAGTATCCATTCATATGTCAACCCTGTCATCTGGCAGCGTTAAGAAATTACAAAGCATATTGGCTGTATTAAAGGAATCTTTGGGAATCTCGCTAAAATAATCGGGTAGAAAAGATTGAACAAATAATCAAATCTGATTCTGTCATAGATAAGTATTTCATCAATGATTGATTCATTCTTTATTCCTCGTAACTGGTTTGTCCGTACACTGTACGGACATTGAAATTTTCTTCTTTTTATCTTTGATTCGAACATATTTTTGATTCTTATAGTAAGAGATTATTAGTGCTAGTATTTTTAAGAGATGCAGTTTTTCCTTGGAACTAAAATACTTCTCCTCCGGAATTTTCTTTCTGGTGAAGGCGGGAATTTTCATTTAAAAGCAGAAATTTAAGTTCTTGAAAATATTCGATAAAAAACAGAGATCGGCAAGGCATTGTGCAATTTGTTGCTTGAGCAGAAATGAAAATGGAAAGATAATCCAAAATAACCAATATTATCTCTGTCCCCATTGCTATGTGAGACATTATAACACCATGCTTCAAAATGTGTGCTCTTTTTTGGGAACATTTTGGGCAAAAAATAAAATTGACCACTTAAAAGGTTAACGCCGAGCTAAGAAGCAACACGAGGGCTGTTGGTAATTGACCTCGAGAATTTCATTTTACTAACTCTGAAGTATACAAATATATTCCTCCTTTCTCTCTGATTTCATTTAGGTATTAGATGGAATCAATTTTGATGACTCTGATTATCCTGCTGTGGAATTTGTTATCCTACCAACAAGCTGAAGGAAATTAAATATGGAATTCTAATACACTATACATAATCCCACTCCACTTTTGCCATTAAAATACAATTCCTACCATTCCAGATGATAGACTTGGATGGAATCAGGACTGAAATTCTGAATTTTTGTTGTTCTGAAACACCTGTTCCTATAAGACCTATGTTATCATGGAATTCTAATAAAGCCTACATTAATTCCTAAGAATTTCACAGATGACATTTGTCAAGCTCCTTAAACAAAGAAAAAGAACAACAACAAAACAAAAAAAAAACTTTTTGTAGATCTATCTTCTGCTCATTTTTCCCTCTCCTCATGTCACAACCAACTACTTCCTCTCTTCCTTATCAAATCCATTATCACTATCATTTTTCCTCCTGAAGAAACTCAACAAACACAGGTCACCTCCAGTATCAAAAACATCTCATCCCATTACTTCCACTCAAGCCTTATCATCCGCTAATAAGACGAATCACCCTCATTGCGGCGGAAAATCCAGTTTTTGCTTTAAAAAGTTGTCCAAGACATTGAAAGTCTTCCCTCTGTGTGCAGAGGAAAGAGAAACAACATGTGTGTGCAGACCGTTATAGTGTCCGTATGACCTAGGAATGGGAATGAGTCTTCCTTCCGCTTGACCTCGCATTCTTGGCCCACGAAGGACAGGTCGATTGCTCCTGGGGACGTTTTCACTCCTGACGGATGGGACTATCGAGACCTTCGGGACTTAATTGAGTGTTTGGGATCATTAATTTGAATGAGAGGAAGGTATTTTCTTATATAAATGACGTCGAGCATACTAGCACGTATTGCCCAATTACGTACAGCTGGAGAGTTGTTGTGTAAGATTTGAATGGTGAAAATCTGATTAATTGAGCTACATGTTATAGGTGTGATGACTTTTCAGGGTTTATATTGTTTGCGTATACAATATTGGTTTTTAAGGTTTTGTTATTGAATTTAACCGTGTATTTTATTTCGAAGACATTATTTTTCCCTCTTTTGGGCCAATACAGAATGTGTTAAGGTATTCGAACACGTTCGGAGTACCTTTTTAAAAAATAGTATGCTAAAACATTATAAATGCCTTTTTAAGGATCAATACTTAAAAATACTAATATTTAACTAACAATATTTAAACAAGTAATATAAAAAATTTTTTAAGTCAGTTCCTATTTAGATCAACGAAGAAAATTTTAGCTACTTTTTGTTAAGTAATTACAATTCATATAAATATGTTTATACATATGACAGAATCACAATATTAAGTGGCAAAATAGAAAAAGATTTTCCTTGTAATTTTCCATTTTCCTTCCTATTTAGGGTGCTGGACTATTACTTTTGTTTTTGTTACTATTTATTCATAATTAAAATTAATTATTCCAATAAAATAGTAAAAAGAAATCACAGTCTCGGAAATTAGGCAATTCCAAGTGGGATTCGAACCCACGCCTTTCGAATTAGAAGTCCAACGCGCTACCCATTACACTACAGGAACACAACGAACGATTTTCCTTTTTATATATGATGTTGAACTATTATTTTTGCTACTAATTATTAATGAATTAATATTTGAAAAAAACTGTATTAACATCAAGTGTCATCCACTACAAGTTTTAAAAAATCTATTTGAACTTGAGTGGTTGAATAAAAAGTATTTTATTAACGATTGTAAATTTGAACAATATATAT